AAATTGCATATGAAACATACGAAGGAAAAATATGTCCTATTTATCAATTTCCTCCTCAAGTTGTTAATCCAATCGCTCGCGAAAAGGAACGTGATTTTCCGAACAATGGTAAGCTCAGTCATCTGATCAGAGAGAAAATTTCTTCCTTTATCTCTCGCATATCATTCAACAGCCTGCAGTTCGTCGATCTGGCGCGTTGTATGGCGCACTGGAGCATTATGCACACGCGACACGTTTCCCAGAGATTATAGAAGCTGGGAGAATTGAGGAGGAAACGCATCGAATTGGAATATTCCTTCCTGTAAGAGGGATTCCTCGAATACTCGATAACGTTTAAATATTTTATTTCGTATCTATATTATTGCATTCCTTCTTGCGCGCCTGTCAGGAACGCAATCATTCCTTGGAACTAAAAACTCGCAAAAAACAAGAAGAATTCGATTTTTATATCATAAAAGAGTAAAAATACGTTTTTCTAAAACACCACGAAGTTACTGCCAATTTTACAAACAAAAGGAGGGATGTATATATTTCTAACTAAAAGTGTAATTAAATAATACACGATGATAGAATATTCTTCCTTTATTGTTGCGCACCAGTTATTTTACGTTTAATTACGAATTTCAGTTGAATACAATAAATTCATGCACCAATTTCATAATCGAAATATTAAAAGAACATTCTATTTTCGAATATCGATCAATTACTAATTACATTAATAATTGCAGACTTAAAATTCTATTTCCAACGCGGGTTTCGAGCAGTAATTTCTCAGTATTCAAACGCCATGACAGATATTCGAATTTAAAATACGCCGGGTGCGAGATATCGAATTATAGCTACCGAGTAACTAAGTTACAAGATTAAGCTCGACATGGGCAACGGAGTCGGAGGAAAACGTGGAAAATAATTTTCCAGAAATACAGAGAATTGGACGCCGCGGTTGGTCTCCTCTGAAAAGCGATTACAAATCCGCAATCTCGTTCTCAGGATGTCTCGAGACGCAACAAGCGGCGTCGGTTCCCCTTGCAATTTTCTGCACGACGATCTCCCGCGACGTCTTCCATTAAATGCGGCTGCCCCACGGGAGAATTTCGCGGATCCTTCGTGCAACGTTCCACCGCCACGAGCTGGAAAATTGTTCGCTAAAACGTAACGGAACGACGATGCAGTTTTCCACTTAAACCTTGGCGAAAGTTTTGAGTGGCGCGCTACCCCCGCGTAAAAAATAATGAAGCAACTACACATTGTGGCGGACGGGCAGTCGTTCGTTGAAAAATTCAAGAGAGTTATGGCGCCTTAATACGAGATCTAACGACCGTCTTCCATTTGGAGCAGCTGGAAACCCAGCGAAATTGCGTTACTTAAGAATATGAACACACTGGTACCTGAAGGGTGGGTCAGGACTTCTGAATGAATTAATAATTTAGTATGATGATTCAATTGTATGGAATTAAATTAGTACGTTGTTTTTCAAGGCATTTTTAGATATGAGAAAAGCTTGGGATATATATGTGATTAATTTATTAATTCGGTTTTATTTACACATTTTTCTCTTTAATTCGATTTATTCAATTTATTCAATTTTAGTCATTTCAAAGATGACATTAAACATACTATTCGCAAAGATGTCAAATTTTCATAGATATGACCACTGGCAACGATGGTATCGAAAGATTGACCCAAAATTGCCAACAGCACGATAACAAAGTCTCCCAGTTAACGCAATCAACGTCCGTCAATGAATTTTCTAACTCGCTCAACAACGCCCGCACCCCCGAGTTTCCACTTTCATTCGCGATTTCCAAAGCCACGTCGTCGAACATAACGAAATTGTCGCGTCTGGACAAATTTTCCTAGGCAAGCGCGAAAGCGAAAGTGTCACGTAGTACTATCGTTAGTGACACTCGAGTAGAGTTCGGTCAATGGTAGTTTAAAATAGAGAGTGGCAAAGAGAGAGGAGAGGCATGGTGTCGGTTTTCCATGCACGACATACGATCGGTTATCAATGGCAGGAACGTTTCTTTGAAACTCGTCGAGTTGGCGGAAGAGACTGGGTCGTTCCGAACGATGATCGCGATGATCGTTAAGCTGCTTAATGAACCCTCCACGGGGTTGACTGGGGCCCCGTCAACCCTTTCGGTATCGACTCTCGTGTGTCACGGTGAGTTGGACGCGTCGCGATTTCGAATCGTCTCAATGGACGCTCGGAACGCGGAAAACGGGACACTGGATGCGTGAAGTTGAAGGGAAATATATGTGTTGGTGATTGAATGGGATTAGTTTGGGAAGGTTTTAAAGTATTATTGACCAGAAATGGTTAAATGTTTTATGAAATGTATGCAGTTTTATTTGCACCATTGTAGTATTGGAGTGTTCGAGAATCGGAGATTGGGACATTTAAATATTGGGACATCGAAGCCTTGGAATTTTTATGTATTGAGACATTGGAGCATTAAGGTATTAAAGCACTGAGACATTGGAGTATTAGGCTACCGAGGCGTTCAGACATTGACGCTTTGAGGTAATGAAGCGTGACATTTCAGTGCATTGAACCATTGTGATATTGAGACATTGGGGTTTTGAAGCATTGAGACATTGAAGCATTAAGGCATTGGGATATTAGGCTATTGTAACATTGGAGTATTAGGCCACCGAGGCGTTGACGCATCGAAGAATTGAGGTAACGAAGCATAAAAGCATTGAACCACTGTGATATTGAGACATTCGGGTTTTGAAGCATTGAGACATTGAAACATTAAGGCATCGAGGCATTTGGCTATTGAGGCACTGAACCACGGAGGCATTAGGTCACCGAGGCCTTGTGGAGCATCGAGGCATTATGATATTAGGGCATTGTGGCGTTGGAGCAATGGGATATTTGGCTATTTGAGTTATTGTATTTCATACATACATTAAAAGGTATAACACAACCATGTCGAAAATAAAACAAATCTGAAAGCTTTCACCTTTCAACTTTTAAAGTCCTCTTATTTCCACTGTCGTACACCTATCTCCAACAAACTAACATACCCCCTATTTTTCCAACTCTCATAAAACGATCCTTGAATTTTGTCGCGATTCGTGATTTTCCTTGACCCAGAAACACGTTTCTCAATAACAACTTACTTTTCAGCGTTCTAACTGCGATCCGCATGAAAGTTTCAACGCGTTAAATATTTTTATCAATATAAATTCCACCAGTTCCGCGCATAAAGCACGAAGTCCCGTGACACGATGAAAGGGTCGTTTAAATTTCCGAGAAATGCCGATCGATAAGCCACTTTTGTTCCAGAAGCCAGCCGTTCCTGTCGGTTCGGTTCAAACGCTCCGCTATGCCCGCGTCGTGAACGCTTTCAATCCGCTCGCTCGCGGATGACGTTCGAATTTTATTTCACGAAAATGAAATTGCTTCCCCAGGTCGGTGAAACGGTGTCGCGTCATCCGTGAAACGGCGACGTCTCGCATCGCTGGGAACAGACGCGTCCCTCGTCCTTTTAATTTCACATATTTCACGGTATATCGGCGAACGGGGACTGCGTTTGATACCCGACGCTCGACATGCACGAAGCGCTTTTGCCGGGAATCGTTTGTCTCTGGGAGACAAACGAATCTTCCGTGGGAGTGTTAAATATTAGGTGTAGAAATTAATTCTGTGCTTCTCTGAGGCAGACTAATGATTTATTTAAAAAGAAAAACTAGGCAATTTTTGATTTTATTTCAGTCACGGGATCCAAGAGAGCACATGGGTAGTTACTTTAATGTGAGAAAATGGAGGGTAAATATTTTTGTTTAAACTACTATAATAAATAATTAAATGTGAAGGCAGAGAATTAATTTCTATGATTAAATAATGTCAACTGCACTTGTAATGAACTTGGTATATATAGATAAATTGTAAGGGCCATCGGGTTGAGACTTAGGTCATGTAGATTAATTGCAATGGAGATCAGATTGAAAACTTAGAAATATGAATAAATTGGTATGAATAAATGGGTGAATTTAAAGCTCTGAATTAGTTTCTAGTATTGAAGTATTGATGTCTTGTGGCACCATGATTTTAACGTATTACAGTATTGAAATATTATGACATTAATTTTTTAATGTTGATAGTTTAGCACTCTTATCATGGCAAACATGTTACCAAGATTAACAATCAACCAATCAAATTTGTGGTAAAGCAGCAGTAATTTAACCGTTGTGTGGACGTAGTGTAAACGTTATTTAATATTCAAGCAGGTTAGGCGACAGTGGGTGGAATAGAAGTAAATGTGTCTCTGTTATTGATTAGTGGTGATTACGGGAGTATTAAAATATATAGCACAATTCTCTGATGTATCGTGTCAACGCCAGTTACAATAATTTATCGAAGGTAAATACTCGTCAATTTATCGCGGACATTTCACCTCTTGACTTTAATTATGCAGCTTAAGTATAGCACTATGTCGTACGTACGTTTAATAGCTCTCCGATAGATGTAAATTTCTTTTATTCATGAACATCGTATTTCCATACCGCCGCGTGTTTGTGAATTATTAACGCGACTGGTATCATCTTATGATTCATCCGCGATTACACCAGCAGTATTTTCATGAAAATATTGATGTTTTCTTGTGCAATATTGCACCAGCATCGTTGCGGAATATTAATACATTCAAATAAAAAAATGTTGATTCACTTGCATCTATAGATTTCTTAGAGATCATCCGACTCTTCTGTAATTTAGATAATTTTCTCTTCGAATCTGATGATACACTACCAAATGAAAATATTTCCTTCTATGCAAAAATTGTGTTGTAAGTTATTACAAAAAAAAAAAAAAAACACAATTACTTAGTTGCCAACCCAATGATTAAAATATTCTGAATGGTGTCATGTTTGTGTTTATTTTACGTTATATTATGAAAAACATCAAAAATTTCATCTTCGTTATCGATTTTAATCTAACAAGGTTTATTCCTAATAATCTTTCCAGAATTCTCATCAGAATTTTTCGACAGGTCCTGACGATAACACTTTCGATAGGCGCGATTCTCCTGGGCGGCTTCAGCTACTCTTTGACGGAATTCCAGCAACGTCGAGCCTTCCTGGAGACCAGACAGAGCTTGGAGGTCCAGTTGGTGATCGAGGAGCAAAGCGCTGAGCAGGAAAGGCTCCTGCTCAGCGTTCTGCCCGAGCACGTCGCTGTTAAAATGCGACAGGACTTGGGGGCCTCTTTGGACACGCAGTTCAAGAAGATCTACATGTCCAGGCACGAGAACGTCTCGATTCTCTACGCTGACATCGTCGGTTTCACGGCCATTTCCTCTACGTACAGCGCCAGCGAACTCGTAAAGATACTCAACGAGCTCTTCGCACGGTTCGATCAGCTTAGCGAGAGGTACGTCGCTATGTTTAATTTATTTAGATAATTGGGAGCAAAGAAATTCGAATTGTAAGCATTTAGAACGAAACAGGAAAAAATTCAACTTTGTTGAAACATGTTGAAATTGTTAATTTGTACGACAGAGAAAGACAACTTTCAGCTGTAGAATTTTTTCAAATTTAACAAAACATGTGGAAACTGTTACTTTGCACGATAAACATGGGAAATATTTAACCTTTCACTGTATAATTTGTTCAAATGTAATTAAACATGTTGGTATCGTCATCTTGTATGACAAACCTTTCGTTATGGAATGTTTTCAAATGTAATTAATATAATATTGAAATAGTCATTTTGTATGACAAATAGGGTAAAGACTCAACCTTTACCTGTAAAATTGAAAAATCGGTGCTCAAATCGTTCGCAAAATCGTTACGGCGGCGCGCGTTTATAGAAACGCCAGTAGTACAGGTCAATGTATAAATCTACGAGGTTTCCACTCAAAATACATCTCGACTCGTACCTCCTTTCCATTTAATAAACAACAATCAGGAGCGAGGCGAAAAATTAAATCCTCTTCTTTCCTTTCTAAAATTAAATCCTCGCCACTCAACCCCGTTTCCACGCAGGGACTACAGTCGCAAATTCCCAGTAGTACCGTCAATAACATGGCGCCCAAGACTCTGGTATATTTTACTTAAAAAGCTGTGTAACGAATATGGCTGGTATATCTAACTGAATTTCCAGCGTTTCTTTTCACTTACCTACTTAAGGTTGAATATCCAGTTACCTTCGACTCAAGCATTAAAAATATGTAGATTTTCTTGAGAGTCAAGAGATGGAGGTGTTTACTGCAGTGACACTTCCGAATAGGCCAAGGTTTAAGTGAACATTCGAAAAATGTTTCTGAACTGCTGGAAAACCAAAAGTCGATAAGTAAAACGTCAATAAAGTAACTTTATTTGATGAACAATCTGATGTCTTTGAAATTTGTTAAACTTTAACGATTGTTTATAGTATTTCAATCAGTAAGATCGATAAAGCTTTCGTGTCAATGAATAGAATCATCTGTTTTGACATAGATAGTTGAAAAAAATATTCAAAAGTCTAAACCATGAGTTTATCTATCTTCTATTACTACTAAATATATCTAGAATTATGTCATCATCCCTTTAATTATCAGAATAAATCAGTAAATAATTGACTAAAGATTCATACATCGAATTGATTAAATTGATTCTAGCCACTGTTCGATTACAACGACAACAAAAATAAATTTTCAGATACGAGCAGCTGCGAATCAAGATCCTGGGTGACTGTTACTACTGCATAAGTGGAGCACCTGTAGAAAGGTCAGACCACGCTGTCCTGTGTGTCTACATGGGCCTGTCCATGGTGGACGCCATCAAGTACGTCCAACAGACGACAAAGAGTCCAGTAGACATGAGGGTGGGCATACACACGGGCGCAGTGTTGGCAGGCGTGCTTGGTCAAAGACAGTGGCAATTCGATGTTTACAGCAAGGACGTCGAGCTCGCTAACAAAATGGAGAGCAGTGGAATGGCAGGGTGAGAATCAGACATTTTAAATTACTCCATGTATGAAACCCAACCAAAAATAAAAAAAAAATATTATCAGAAAAGAGATTGAAGGGTTCCAGTTGAACTTTAGGATATTGATTAAAATTAAACTGAACTGCAGCTATAATTTTGATATAAAAATACAATGTGGGAATAAAAAATAAGGATTGCTCGAGGTCGAGATGGGATAGATTTGTTACAATTGAATTTTGAACTTTCGTATGAATTTCATTAAGTTGGACGGTGTTACAAACTTCAAAAATGGGAGGTATTCATTTTATATAAAAATACTATACGGGTTCAAGATGGAGATAAGGGTGTTATTATTGATTTCTGAGTCTTCTGTTAAATTTCAATAAAAATACATTCAGCAATAGAATAGTATTTCTTGTAAATTTCAGACTATGATTTAAGTAAACTTTAATTAAAGTGATGAATCGAAAAGAGGGCAAGGCTGGTAATTTTAGCATAGTACAGGTTCATGTATTAAAAGTACAAGGAGGATGCGACTGCTGTTATAGTTACCAGATAGATGCCGTTATTAAATAGAGAGTATAGGAAGCGTGTATTTAAAGCTTCATTTCAATATTTTTACTCCGTCCCATCCCACCTGAGCATAATTTTTCCCTCGAGACGAGAATGAATAGGAGCATATTCTTTTTATATAAAATGAAAAAACACTCACAACGTGTGCAGAATTGCTAAAAACCCTGGAATTACAATAGACAACGTAATAATCAATTTTCACTGATTTCATTAAACTAAAAAAATGTAAAGCGTACTTAATGCTCCAGATATTAAATTTGTAATGAAGATATTCTTTGCATTCGAGAAGTTAATTCAGGGTACAGAACGTTTATTTAGTTAAAGAACTAAATTAATTTTTGATCGCATTATTCCCGAGGAGAAATGGTTTTCAATTAAATCAGAATTAGCTTTTAATTATTCGAGTAATTAAAAAAATTGTTCGAACATCGATGAGAAATTTGAGACTGGGGACGAAATACTTTTTCTCAGTTACTAGATTGAACGTACTAATAACTCGCAATGTTTGCAATCATCGTCGTTTCTTTGTCCATCTTAACCCCGTTTACACTCGTGCGCTTTTCAAGAACGGGAAAACAAAGGGGCCAGCTGGCTAGAAGCTGTGAAAAAGCTGCACATGAACACAGAGGCGAGTTTTCCGTCATGTTAAACGACATCGATGTGTGGACCTACAAAATACGTCCTTGACGTTCGCGGAAACATAATGAGCGCACTCCGAGCGTATACCTTTGACGTTAATTACACAACGAAACGCCTCGCGAGCAGTTTTTAATGCCCCTTCGTACTTCTATTTTAGCGGAGCGCGTTAAAAGGCGAGATGTTCGGATACCCACAAAGGAACTCAACCCCCTAAAGAATGAATACTCATTTAAACAATGTTAATACTTAATTTAGGAACAATTATTTTTCTTTCGCTTATTTTCTCTTGGGATAATCAATTTTTGTAGTAATTCACCTGTCTTCTGTTAAAAGTAACTGGATCTTTAATTTTCTTTAGATTTATGTGATAAGTTCTTGACACAGACTAAGTTTTTGTATCCTTTGGAATTATACATATAAACTACATCGTCATTTTTCGCATTTTGTGTCGTTATGTTGTATCCGCCATTTTGAATTTCTAAATTTTGAGTTCAGATTTGGAATCAGCGACCCCGAAGACCCCTGTATACCAAATTTCATCCAAATCGAATCAATTTTCGTATTTTGGTCCGCCATATTGGAACCGCCATTTTGATAATCTAAATTTTGAGTTCAGATTTGGAATCAGCGACCTGAAAAACCCCTGTATACCAAATTTTATCAAAATCGATCGTCAGGAAAAATAGATATAAATGTTTCTCTTTGAAAGAACTTTGAGGGATCTTCCAACCAGGAAAAATTACAATGTTTACTATTGTGTCACGGAATTTAGAGAGGTGTTCCTTCCAGGAAATATTACAATGTTTACTATTATGTCACGGAATTTAGAGAGGTGTTCCTTCCAGGAAATACTACAATGCTTACTAGTAATTCTCGGAATTGGAACGGTCTTGCAAGGAAACTATATGTATACATATATATGTAGGTCACGACGTCTGTCCTTCTCTTATAATTGTCTATAAAATAGGAAACTTTGAGGTGTCATAGCTGAGCGTGGAATTGTCCGATTCGATTCTACCAAAATTCAATTCGAAGGGCACAATTTCTACTATCTAATAGGTAGTTACTATCATTGTTACATACTCTTAAACAATTGTTTTTTTAAATATATAATTATTAAATATTGTCCTCATTGTACCATGTAACTCGGTGTAGAATCGTCTGATTCGATTCTAACAAAATTAAAATTGCAGAACGGAATGTGAATTATCTAAAATATTGTTATGATCATTGTTAGACACCCTTAAACATTTGTTTTATTTATTGCTGTACATAATGGCATTTTCATTTACCATATACAGTTATTCCTTCCAATTCACTTGTTTGCATACGCTCCTTCGTTATCTCTGATTCCGTATCAAAGCAAAAGGGAAACTCAGTGGCGGAAACGCTTCTCGCTAAATCAGCGTGTTTCCTCTCCATTCAGTAGCGTTTCGCGCTTCCTCGCTCAAACGGTTAAACGCAGGACTCTTTTGAGACCGTAAGCTCTGCATCTGGAAAACCAATTCCCTCGTGAATAGCGATCGAGTAAACAAAACCAGCAAATAACCGGCTGAATAAATACTTGAAGGAGGGTGCACATCTCGAACGCGACTCTGAGCTTTCTCAACGGGGAATTCGAGGTCGAGCCAGCCCACGGCGAGGATCGGGAGGAGGCGTTGCAAAAGGCAGGGATCGTCACCTACTTCATCGTCAGAGCTTTGAAGCCCTTCAAACCCGCGGTCACGAAGAGCCTCGCCTCTTTGACGGACGCTGAGACCTCGAGGACGACGATGCAGAACGCTGGGGACGGACGCAACAACAAGGAGGACTCCGAGGAGTTCAGGCAGAGACTGAAGAACGAGCTCGACAGCAAAGGTGAGAATGATTACCTGGTATTTTAAAGGGAAATTGCTTTCTTTTAAAGCCAATAAAGGGGGTTCATTAATTTTTTTATAAAGAAAATATACAAGATTTCAATTAGAAATTTGACACACGCTTTTATTACTATTCTAGTATTACGTATAAACTTTTATGGGAAGATTTACCCAATTTTGTAAATGTTACAACTCATTGATAATGAAACGAAATAATGAAATTTGTTACAACAAATAAAATAGAACCTAAAACCAAACGATGTAACGATATTGCTGAGCAAAATGAAGGTTTCTATCGTATATTAACGTTAAAAATTAATTCAGCAAAGGATTATGTGAATCGTAGGTGGTGGAGCTGACCTGAAGGGCCACGCACATTGGTTGACACTGAGATTCAAGGACGCGAAAGTGGAATCAGCGTTTCACCACGCCGAGGAAGCCTTTTCACCCTTGTCCCTCGTCGGTGGACCGTTGGTGATGGTCTGCGCCGCCCCAGTTTGGAGGTTTCAGCCGTGGGGACCATTCACGTGGGGTGGCTTGGGGGTGGTTATCTTGTTTGCGATCGTTTTGGCAGGTGCCACCTGTTTGGGTAGCGCTGTCAAGGCCATGTGGCTCAGGAGAGCCCTAGCAATGATGATGACGTTCTCCCTAGGCTATTTCCTGCTTCTCGATATGGTACGATCATTTCCAATCTCGTTTAAACATACCCAATTTGGAAATGTATGGATTAGATTCAAATTGTCGACCAGGAATCACTGACCATTGAAATTAGGTCAATTACAGCAAATGTAATGAACCACGCCTTTCAGATTTAGCGTATTATTATATTTAATTCTATATATTGATATCTTTATTCTGTTGAACCGAATATTTCGTATCACTTTTGTATACAGTCTTGAACGTCTAAATATTAGGTCCAGCATAATCTTTTCTTACGTTTTATTTTTCCTATGATATCGAGACCGTCTAAGTATAAGGTGTGGCTATTAATACATGTATAGGTATTACAAGTTTAATAAGGTCTCTAGAGAAGCGACCTGAACGCGAAGGAGTTAATGGTTGAAATTGACACCAGGAGATGAGAATATTGCCTGGGTCTATGTCCTAGATGTCACGTATCATCTGATACTGTATGGAAGAGATGGGAGTGTGAAAGGAGGACAATAATCAATGTCGAATTAAGACCATGTAGACGTTCAGTTTGAAAATAGATCTGGCTAGTATTTCCCTCTCCAGGGAACTAAAACTGTTTTGCAAATCTATATCTTGAGTCAGAGTAGGACAGCGTTTCAGAGTCTATATCCCAGAGGTTTTCAAAAACTGAAAGCTTCCAAAGATATTACACGGGTAGTTCGATATATGTTATAATTAAAACTCGAATTGAGTTGGGATCGATTCATCGAGACAGTATGAATCAAAAAGTTCTTTTCCATTTTGTAATCTGAGATTTTCTTATGGAGATCGCAGGGATACTCGGATTGCAAAACGGTAAAGAACTTTTCGATTTCCTTTCTCGAGAGGAGTTCGATCCCAGGTAAGACTACACATTTTTCATTTTTTCACTCGAAGTTCTACTGTACCTATCTACAATGACAATTTCTTGGATAGCTGTAGATGTCAATGAGTTAACTTTTCACCGTTTCACAGAGTAATTGCGTCGTCATCGAAGAACCGATCCCAGCATTCAACGCCACAATAACTCTGTCGACGAGGTGTCCGTATCCCTCCTATTACTCGTACATCGGTGTCCTCACGCTGGTGGCGATCTCGATGCCCACCTACGTGTGTTACCTTGGCAAGGCATATCTAATGTACGGAATTGCTGGTACCCAGTGTTTCATCAATATCTGGCTACTAGGAAGGCGGCTGGATTGGGAGGACTACGCCTCGTCGCCCCTCGATCCTGCCCCCTTTCCATCGAAATACTGTTTATCTGTCACGCTGCTCATCGTCGCCACCTCTTTGGTCATCGTGGCCAGATACGTGAGTTAATTTTATTTACTATTCATAAAATTAAAAAATTGCATCGAATAGAAAATCAAAGTCTGTTGTAAATAATATTAGGTTGACCAAAAAGTTCGTTCGGATTTTAACGCGCAAATAAACAGCGCTTCTTTTTAGATAAGGCAATATATCTACTCTATAACATATTGTCCATTTTGTTGTATGATTTCTCTCCATTATTATGTAAAAAACAATGGATTATGCCTAACATTGCAAAAATAAAAATAGAAAATACTAGAAATTCCCCATTAATGAAAAAAAAATATATATATAGGAAAGCGAGCTTTTGTACGTCTCATCAAATTCATTAGAATCAAGAACGTACTTGTCCCTAGCGTCGAGAGCCCATTCATCATTCACTCGAATCGCTTCGACCCCGTACGTCAATATTTTTTTAAACAAAGAGTAGCTCGCAATCAGCACTTTCACGAATTAAATCGAACCAGAAGCTACTAGTTATGGCGAATGCATTTCACGAAATTGCACCGACTACTACAAACATCCTCCAATTTCTCCAATTAATCGATGAGGAATCGCGAGTACGAACACTAAAACTCGTGACATATTCTACCAAGTTAAAATTTTATCTCGAGACTGGCAAAAAAAAAAAAAAATAACGATCCAGATCAATACGTTTTCAGTTTTATGAATTTCTATTTTCACTTATTGTATTTAACGTTTAGCATTGGTTCAGCATTGCCAACCCTCAAAAGAGTATTTTGCATAAATATTCGCAGCCTAGCAATGAATTCGCCGTAATCATTTTTTAAACATTTTTAGTAGAGTTTCTGGTATTAGTATAGAAGGAACAGTTATAAACTCCTTGGATAAATGAGGATCTCGTCGCTTCGATAAATTTTCAGGCGGAAAAGGCGAGGCGGATGCTGTACCTTCGTGGTCGCGAGGTTGTCGCGCAAAGGGAAAGGGCGGCGGACATGAAGCGTAGAAACGGAGCACTGATATACAACATCCTGCCTCCACACGTGGCCGCCTATTTCCTGTCCAGAGCAAGACACCACGACGACCTGTATAGTCAGAGCTACGCGGAGGTGGGCGTTCTGTTCGCCAGTATGCCCAACTTCGCAGACTTCTACAGCGAGGAGAGCATCAACAATCAGGGTCTCGAGTGTCTCAGGTTTCTGAACGAAGTTATCTCTGACTTCGACGCGGTTAGTGCTTTTATCCTATATAGAAACAAACAAACAAACAAACTTCACCTCTTTATAATATTAGTATAGAAGTATGGATTATTCACAAAACAAAATGTCATTAACGTAAAATGTTAAATTTGATTTAATGTTAGTTAAATTAAGTGCATTTTGACCCCCCACAGATACTCGATCAAAACAAATTCAAAGATATTATCAAGATAAAGACGATAGGCTCGACCTACATGGCAGCATCCGGAATAATGGAGTCCGACGACCCAGAGGACGCACCGCGATGGTGTCACCTATCGAACCTGGTCGAGTTCGCGTTGGAATTGAAGAAGGCTTTGTCCAGCATCAACGAGCAGAGCTTCAATCATTTCGTCCTGAAGATGGGTATCAATCACGGCCCAGTCACTGCTGGCGTCATCGGAGCGAGAAAGCCTCACTATGATATTTGGGGCAACACTGTGAACGTGGCGTCCAGGATGGAGAGCACAGGAAAAGTCGGTTGTATCCAGGTATTGTTGGCAGTTAAAGTACTTCGCAGTGTGCAGTAGAATTTTAATATTTCAATTTGGTACAGTAAATTAAAGGGATACACTAAGCTATGACAGCCAATTTTAAGAATTTTTTTTAAGATTCAAGTACATGTTTTGTAGGAGTCTAAACGAAAAATAAGGCACGGGGATTCGAAGCCACGATGATCCTCGGATTCACAGTCGACCGCTTTACCTACGCGACCAATCCCGCACCCTACGTTTCGTGTTCTTATTTGACTCCTTATCGTTGGGTATGGGAGGCGCGGACACTACAGTTTTAATCCAAAACGAAGCGCAATTTTACAATACATGTACCGAACTAATATATTTATTTCTTATTTGTTAAGATATATTTAAAAATGATCGAGATGCAGCAAATCTCCTGGAACATTCTCTTCCGAAATATACAAAATTATTCTGATAGAAGACGCCAACATTTGCGAAATGGTTGAAGAGTTTTTCAATCGTTTGATTTTTACCAAAATGATGGTCGTTCTATTAAAAAAGCTCATTTTTCTGAATTATCGTTTTTCCTTAATAAAATAGCAAGTTTTCATTAAAGAAAATTTCTTCGTTCATTCAGTAGATGTTGACATGTTATAACAATAATTGTTTGGTATATTTCAAGTAACGAATATTTCAGGAGATTTGCTATATCTTGTTCATTTGTAAATATATCTTAACAAAAAATTTTGTACATCAAGTTCAATACTTGTACTATAAACTTGCGTTTTGTTTTAGTTCAAAATATATATTTAAATCTTTAAATAAAATTCTTCAATCGTGCCGATGACAACTGCGTGAGCTCCCTTGACGACTCAATATTATCTCCAAAGCTAACAAATCCCAGCACAATCTGAATCTAGGTCTAATGCAGACACTATACTCTATACAGTGGTACTTTAACCCAGATTGAATTCCATGTAAATGAAACCTCAGCACTCATCTTAACACAGTCATAGCCCAGATCTAATTACAACCATCATCTCGATCACAGGTCACAGATGAAACTCGAAGGATCCTCGAGCCGTTCGGGTTCGGTTTCGACAAACGCGGCCTCGTGTTCGTGAAGGGCAAGGGTCAGCTGTTGACCCACTACCTAGTGTCCAAAGACGGCGTCTCCTTGAATCTGGACAGCGACCTGCCTGTCGAACCTACTCATCCCATCATCTACCAGTAGGCTACTACTCGAAGGCTCTAAATTTCAACGCAAACTCTTCCTTGCTAGCGAGGAATAGTTTCTCTATCTCGAAGATCCTCGAGGAAACGATTCGAGGGATCGTCGCTGGAAAACGACGAGCGAGATCTCCGAGTTCGAATCGACGCCAGTCTCGTGGGGATTTCGAACAAGTTCGAACGATCTTAGGCAGCTCTAGGTGTGTTAGCCTTCTAGAGTTAAAGAGGAGAAACGGATGGAAAATGGAGGATAGAATGGGTCGACCTTGGGGAATCGAGGATCTCTGGATCCAAGGATCAAAAACAGAGCTGAAACGGCTTTGATCGGTTCCGTCGATTGAAAGATCATTTAGTTTCGAACGTTTGTCATTTTTAATAGATTTTCTATCGCTATGAGGCTTCGGGCCGCGACTTTCGTTCAGTCCGTAAATTTTTGACCGTTCATCAATCCGTTTACGATCAACTCACTTGAATCCTCCGATGCATCTTTCAATGGGAGACTTAACCATCTGGTAGAATAATTTCTCTTTCAAGGAGAAGCTCGCGCGAGCAGTACTGACGAAAAATTTGCCTAACTCGAGGAACTCTTGAAACTGTGTTCAAACGAAGAGTCGTTGAAAAGAGTACCCAGCTCTGGTTGAACAATCAACGTAGCCGATTTAAGGAGAACGTTCATCGATGACAAAGAACAAGATACAAATCGAGGAATAATCATGTTCACCGAAGAGAATATTGCGTTATAGAGTGGATGTCGGCATGAAAGTGATGAAAGCTTCATGATGTCTCAACTGTGAACGTCGTGAGTTGTTTTAGCTAAGATCAGGTCTTTAAGGGAGTCCTATGACAAGGATGAACCAAAACGAAATGGAGCTGTGATGCAAAAAGAAGAGTCGACAGTAGGCTGACTTCGAGGAATTGATGAAGCAGGAGGCTGAATTCAGAAGCTATCGAAAATTCATCGATCTGCTTTTACGAGCATCCCTGAATTACAGACGTTTTATATTGATTAGAAATTCTGCGCCGATCTGAAGGTCGATCTGATTGCGAAACAGTTCGAAAATGTCTAGAGCAAGCGTGACCAGAATTTAGGAAGATGATAAATGGGACGTTGAAGACTTTAGTGCAAAAACAGGTCTTCTCCATCTTCGACCATTTCCAAGCCTGAATGTGTCCTACAAATTAAAAAACTAATTATAGTTCATTTCCTGAGAAATGTTCATTTTTTTTGTCGATGATCCATTCTTGCACTGGGGTCTTCGATTGAGAAACGAGGAAAAAAAAGAAACGTGTAGTTGACCCATCGATCGTTCACGTCACTCTAGAATCGATACGTAACTTAAGAAAGTGTCTAAATCGTAATCGTTGTGGTAGATCGCTGATCATGACTCTATTTTTCTAGATCCTGCGACGAGCACGCTCGATATTAATTAACGGACGATCGATTAGTGGTAGGCGAAGAATCGTCGTTTTTCTCAATGTTCATTGATACATGGAAAATATTGTGCTTTAGGGATTCGAGAATTTTCCAAATATTAAGGAACACCCTGTGCAATGCGTTTTCTCGATCATCGGTATCGTCAACTGTGTACTTTCTTAAGATCTCGCTCGAATCATCGTAACTGAAAATTCTTCCTGAAAAGATAACTGAAAAAGGGCTAGAATTGCAACGAGGACTCAGTGGCCGAGCGTGTAGCGTTCTTGCTTGCAACGAAAGGGTTAAAAAAAAAGGGTCAAGTTCGCGGATTTGAATCCCAACTGGCTGAAATTTTACTAAGCTCCCTTTTTCCTCTAAAACTATACAATTCAATTATCATAACAACTCAATTACGTCCTAACATTCTTACGAAAGAATCGATTATCCGACATTTAAAATTTCAATTGTTGCAATAACTGAATCGTTGACTGAGACCGGTGCAGTAGTTGGATCATGATGCAGTATTGGGCAAAATGCAATCCACGATTAATGCTATCAACTATGAAAATAAAAAAATTGAATACGATTAGCTCTGCTACGATTGCAGATTATACAAATGTAGTTTACAATTAATCTGACAATTGTAAGTGAGTATCGCGAAGTGGATCACTGCTCAACTCTGTGGTGTAATTGCCGTAACATCTGAGTCACAGAAGCGATTATTATTGTAATACGAATTGCAATTCAGTGTGTAGCTACTGTCGAAAAAAAAGTACTCTTCAACTATCGAACATGAAAGTATGAAATTGTGTATTGTAAATTTAGTAGAAACTCGACGAATTTCGTCTTTCGTGGAACTCTCTATTTCGTAGAATCGCGAAAGGAAATGACAATTGCAACGAGACGAAACGCCATTATGGGAAACATCGAAACTGTACACGAAAAGTTCCATGGCAACTTTTGTCTGAAAGTCTGTCTACTGGCAAAATACAAGAATGGAACATGGTAGAACCGAATGTGTATGTCAAGGAATGTATCCGCTTGATTGATTGGTAAAGATGAACACAAATGGGAACTGTAATCTCATAATCTAGAAGAATATTTAGAATAAAGTCTGTTAAAAATACAAGCGCTGTTTCAAAATTAAAATCGATAACCGAATTTTAATAGTTTTCAATACAATCTATCCTCTGTGATTTACATACGAAGAAAGGTTAATAATTTAATTTACATGGTTTTATAATAAGTATTGTACTACAGAATGAATTGAGAAAGTGCTTGCATGTTTAACAAACTCGATTCAAGTAAGAATCATTCCGATCAGAACTTTGCTATCTATTACATTTTGGTGTACTCGCTACGTTTGAACTATGAAGTACGAATGCATAGCGAGGCCCATTTCATCGGGGCCGTCGACGAAAGAATCTCTATAGTTTTAATTTAACTATATTTTTCTGCGAACAGAGTCGTCGATTTATATTAGAAAAATGTTTGAACGGGCGGAGGTTTCTTAGGAGCTTAGATCCGATTTACTTCTCGAATGTACAAGGCATTTCATCAAGTTCCCAACATTGCACGCTGTCAAATGACTCTTGAGATCGAAATAGGACGAATTGTGACAGTAAAATTTCCTCGAAAGACTTCTCATTTCATAGTTATTTGCGTTACTTGCACCAGCGTTAATTACGTAACGAAGACTTGGACAAAAAGAAAGTTTCTCATCGAATTCGTCTTATCTTGTGATCAAGTATCGTTTGGTCGTACTCTAACGGGCTTCGTGAGACATCTCGTATCGAGTCATCCGTAGTGACTATAACACTCCAACACGGTCGCTGATATAATAATTTATTTTTCTACAGTTTGAGTCACCGAGTTGATCACAGACCAAGATGATGACTCGAGTACGTTACAACGCACACACGATCACGATGGAAGATACAAAGTCGCGATTATAATCCTTTTGTCGGAGACTATTAGTTTATAATAGCGCGAGGGTGGAATTAGTCCAGCCAGGCGCGCTCGAATCGAACACACAAACTTTATAGTTAAGTATGAAACGTCTGAACAAGTTGCAAACTTGTCGTTCGCACTAATAAGTTCTTTTTTTAACTCGAACGTCACAATTTTAAAATCGAACATGATTTTACTCCAACGATAGTTTGCGAGAAAACTGCGTATCTCGAATGGTTGGACTTTATCTTACGAAATGTTCTTTTCTAACGATGAATGTATATATATTTTCGTGACTCGCGGTCCGAAAGGGTTGAAAATATTAGTAGCGGCGAAGAGAAAGTGGTGCGACCGAATAACGAGAAAGCACGGCCTAAAGCGGGATTGAAAAATTGGGCAGACTGAATGGATGTAGCGATAGAAGCCACGGAGAACTCGAAACGAACTCTTTTGAAGGAAAGTAGAATTCGAACTCTTCCAATTCATTTAGCGAACCTTCAATTGCTAAAACGATCTTGGTTTCTAATGACGAAACGATTTTTCAACTAACTGGAACTAGAGAAATCGAGCTAGTCATACTGAGATAACAGTAATCCTCGCTTATATGTTACACGCCAGAGATGTGCATTATCTAGATAAAAATATTAATTAAATAAAAAATCGAGTAAAGATACTTTATCTTTATCTTTATTCGATGACTGTCGGATAAAAAAATTTATTCGACGGATAAATTGAATCCCACGTGAAGTAACTTTCTCACTTCATTCACAAATTCCATGCACTGAATGAATAAAAATAATCGCAAGAATGACACAGTACCCTGTAAACGAGAAAGAATCCGTATCATTTATGCGGGGATTACCGTGCAAGTCCCTCGATTCGACACAGCGACCAAACTTACCACTATCGTCATCTTCGTCGATCGTTTTCCTTCAAAAAGGAATCTTTCCTTCGCCAGAGTTTCGGAATCGCACAAAAGGATAAAGCTGGAAAAGGGATTGTCGCGCGATAACTCGATCTCAAATCTTTTCCACTGGTATCGCGTACTTCCAGTTGATATCCCAAAAATCGACACAGTCCCACGCATCTCCGCGCACGGAACAGAGACTAACGATGGAGAGTCCAAGGAAGACAGCGAAACATGGCACACTCAAGCTTACGTTCACGTCGGACCTGGTTGGTGATCTTGTAAAGTAGCAATAAAAGGAACTACGTGTACATACGTTGCGTATTATATTTGAACGACAGGTCGAAAGAATACGAGGGAAGGTGAACGGTTGTCTTTCAAAGTCGTTGGAACTACTAGAAGGGGTTGCAACGACCCGGCCGAATGTGTGTATAGTCGTGTAAGAAGAATTATATCATTGTAGATATCCTAGTACCTTAGATGTGAGACTACGAAAAGGGAACAGTTGTTGTAAACTATCAAAGTATACTTCTTCAGACGGAGTGACACGCCGGGGACACGCGGGGGGCGAGTGGAATCATGCGACTGTAAAATAAACGGCCCCTTTGCCGATGTACACAAATGTGATTATTTTTCTCCCTCGTCTCTGGTCACCTATACAGAATAACACATCCTTTTTTTTTATCGTTGTTAAAAAAAAAGTCAAAAGAATACATAAAGTAATTAGAATGAAAAGAATAACTTTCAATATTTGAATTAAAAGTGTTCCAATAATTTGAGTTGGGAAGTATACAGATGAATCCTTGGAAGAACTTTATTTTCAAATTTATTTCGAACATATTCGAAAGTCCTTTACAGTAAGAAGCGACTGATCGAACAAAGGTATCAAATAATTTGACGATTTTCGTCCTCTCGCCTCTGGAAAAAGAATTAGCTGGCTCGGGAAAATTGAACGAATCAAATTACAGCGTCTAGAGACATTTTGCATTTATCATCTAAGAGTAGCGAAGACCGCGATGTCTTTATAAAAATCATATCTGATATATATTATTCTTTGTTTTCTTTCTTTTTTTGTTTTATGGAAAATCGTGTGCCACTTTGTGGAAAAATATTCTCGATTCGCACGAATTACTTTTTTATCTTACAAATCAGCGAGTCCTAGACCTCAATTATCGTTACACCGCAGAAGTTACATTTTCGTCGAGGTAAAAAAAGGCTTCCTTTCGCGAGCATGTACATCTAATGTTGTACATTAAAAAAACAAGATTGGAATGCAATGTTGTTCTTCGTCAGCGCGACAAGTTCTCAGGATTATTTTAGAAATTTCGTTGCTTATCAATATAAAGAACAACGCCAAAGAAACGAAGACACCACTTTGTAACGTTTGTACACACAGGATGTCTCATAAAATGTGAACGCACCTTTAGAAATAACTTCTATACAGAAAAATAATTTTAAACCAATTTTCTTGTACAAGTTCTTTGTGCTAACCTTCTCAAATTGTAATCGTTTCAGTATTGTGTTAATCTCTACTCAAAATATTATTGGAAATTTATAGAAAGCATTATCAAAGTGTTTCCAAGCAATTCACGAAATCGTGTACAAGGTACAAAGCAAAGCAAGGTACAAGGTAAACATCCACTAGGATACATGTTTATACAAATGCTTTTTGATTACTCTCGTAAATTCATGATCAAATTTGTGCCCAGATTTTATTGGACACCCTGTATATACTTACAATAAACTTATAGCACATGCGTGTACGTGTACAATTCGCGATTATCTTGTGCAAGGTACCAACGGTACGTAATCCTAAGAAAAATATCTCTCAGCATGTTTGCTTTTATGAATGTCGAAACTCGAAATTCCATTGATTCCATTCAAATTAATTCAAACTAAAAAATTGAAACGAAACGCAGAAAAGCATTCTACAGGATGTTGACAAATATGTGAAACTTGTATCGAAATTAATTCTTCGAATGGAAAGCCTTGGATTGCAAAATGGAAAAGGACTTTTTGATTCGATTCGTCACGAGAGATTAATATCAGAGAAATTTTGTACACTTTTATCAGCACCAGTGGAGATTTCGAATTTCATATTGAGACCCATTCACGATATATGTAGATCACACGAGCTGCCTTAATATTACGATTATCGCAAAGCGGGAAGAAGATATCATCGATCTGACGATCGCGTTTGCGACGAAAATTATCGAGCGTTTCGATTTATCGTAAGGACTGAATTCTCGGGAAGGATCCAGCTCGCGCTTCGCTTAAAATTACGGTGTAAATGTTGGAGCGATTGTCGTCGAGAGAGAATCGTGTAAAGCACTTGAAGAGTCACGGATTTTTACCTAATTCGTGCATGCTCGTGCACGTTCGTGTATACAGTGTGGTCGATTTTGTATGGCATACTAGAAACAGGCAACATTTATATCTACCTATTTTAAACAATAGGGTGAAGCGATTAAATTTATTAAATCACTCACATAGTTATTTGTTCTTCATTCAATAAATGTGCCGAGAGAAATGAGACGACGTACATACGCTATGTCATGATTTGACACTCCGATAAGAATGATGTGCAAAATAGTAGTTTAATTTTTATTCTTCTATTCACTTACACCACTATCATTTCAAAAAGAAAACACCAAAGAAATTCATAATTTTTTAATTACCACAAAATGCGAAGGTTGCCTGTTTTTAGCGAACCATTCTGTAGATGAGAGAACGAAAGAGAAGTCCTGGAAGAAATTGGGAGTCCTATACCATTATACGTGCTAATCAGTCTTCGTAAGATCAGCGACGAAATAAAAATCTCTCAATCCTGTCCACGTTCTACTCATTGTTTTACACTTTACTTAATCCAGGACTTATCTTTCCTTCTCCTTGCATCGATTTTTTGAAATTTTCATTCGGACAAAGTTCTAAAAATTACAAAGCTTAGAGGACTTTAGAAGTCACTTTTAAATTTCAAACGTAATAATGCAATGACGAGGATAACTTTTTCATTGAAAGTATTCACTGCATTTTTTATTTTATTATACGTAAGAAAAATACGAGGTAGCTTTTATTTCAGAAATTTTTTATACAATTCTGCTCGCTTATCGATTAAATTGAGTGACTCGTGTGAGTTACCTCGTCCGCTTGAAAACCGTGCAGCAACGATCATTTTTCGATTATCGTCTGCCCACCGTTTTTACATTAAAAAAACGCTCGTTAACGCCTTGGTTAAATATTCAGCACCGTATCAAAATTCCGTATTTTCCGACGAAATTCCGTTTTCATCGTCAGTCGTCGAATACTTGCATTCCGTGCACCCTGAATTGTATACGATCCAAACCGATCAGCGTTCTGTTTTATTGTATCCTGTCAAGCTCGTTCGTTACATCCTATTTTCAACTACGTGTTACTTTCGATACCTCAACATTCGGTATTTATTTTATCATTTAATGTCTCGAGTGGAATTAACCTTCAATAAGTGATTATCACGCGTAAAAGGTTAATTTTTTCGCCACACATGCTCAAGCAATTCGTTCCGCCATTGTAGAGGACTCAAAAGGACTCATTTATCCGCGAAAGGCGATTACAATCTTTGAATATATTATTCCTCGATGATACACTACTTCTGTGAATCCTTTCAGAAGTTCAAAATTAACTCTGTGTTCCAGTCAGAATGGTACCCAGCTGGTAGAATTTTAATAACAGAGAGCTCAAACTATATAACTTTAATTCACACAGCATCAAATCTTCTTAGACATATAACAAAATGGAGAACCTAAACAATTTAAAGAGTTTGCATAATCCCTGAGATTTAGCTAATAATCACCAGTCGCTACAAACTAAAAGCAAACGAAAACACAGCTACCATTCAACTCTAAACGTCCTCAAACCCTCGGTACAAACTCCCGCCGTGATTCACGTCGCTGATCTTCACACTCTCTCAAATTGCAACAGAAATCCTAATCCCCGATCAGTGCCAACATCCCCAAACTTCTTCGAAACATCACCTCAGATCTTCAAACTTCCTCAAATCTATTGGAACACGTACCAAATCTCTCCAAACTTCCACGAACGTGTTCGAGGGTATCGAAACTTACACAAAACTCGCTCAAATTTCGCCAAACCACCGCACACCGTTCACCAAAGCAGAGAGTCAACGCGAATGATCGATCAAAAGGATGATCAACCGTCGAGAGGATCGCCGGCACCCGATCGGCCGAACTCCTGCGAGGAGCCAGGCTGTCGATCGGGTACCAGCAGCCATCCTCACGTCCTCACGAACTTGTACACAACACCGAACACCAACACGCTGACCAGAACCAGCACCAACGCGGTGACCACTTTCGCGAACGCGTTCAAGCCGCTCTCCGTGTGCTGTTGAGGCCTCCTGGTGGGAATGCTCTGCTTCGAGGCCAGCCCGCGGGCCAACGCCGGAAACGCCAGGCTCTGGGTGAAGGTCAGCTTATGCAGGGACTCCGACAAGGAGTACGGACCCACGGAGCCACGTGCTGCTGCCCTCAGGAGGGAGTACTCCAGGTCCAGGGCGTCGAACATGCTGTACCTGTCGATTAAAACAGGTGTTAATTATGGCCATGTCGCGGGGAATTAAGGATGACGACGTTTCGATGTCTTCTCGGGTGTTTGTTCGTGTTTAGGTGGGAGGTAAGCAGGCGAGGGCTTTGAAATCCCTCGGGAAGAGTTCAGGTGTAGTGCTGTTGCAATTGGAGTTAGCTAATTATTGTGGTCTCAAGCTCTTTGATAGTTGTATACCTTGTGTGTTGAGTAGTGACGGGATTAAGCGTCTCGTGAGCAGGTTCAACTCCTGGAAGGCTAGATTCAAGTAGTGTATGAGTATTTTGATAATGAGAACAGTAGTTCTAAGTATTACTAAATGAACACACACATATTTTCATTGTATGTATTACATAATATCAACAATATCTGTGATTTATTTGGTAATATTTTTGTTTACGTTTGGCGTATATACTACTATTACTGTTTGTTTTACATATACAATTTTAGTGTAATGTAAAAGTTCATGTTTATGGTATATATTTGTTTTGAATTTGTCGACATCTTAATCAATTGTCGCTGATTTATATTTAGGCAGTGTATACGCTCAAACTAAAATATATTAAGGTTCTGACTATGAATAAAACAGAAATGAACATAGTTATTATGGACTCGTGTAAACTGTAGGTTTATTTAAACTTGCCTTGTATTTTTTTTTAAGTATACGCCTTTAATAAGTTGCACTAGGAGTTATTTTACATCCTATGTGATATTACCAATAGTAGAACCTAAATTATACACGAGTATCGTGAGTGTAAGTCTAACACTGTGGATAAATTTATTTTGTAAGTACCACGAATTTTCTCATAGCGAACAGTATAGGTTAACAATTTTAATAAAATCCCTGATCTCAATTCTAAGAAATAATTCTTTGTCATCCTTCCTTAGTCTACCATCTCATAGAAAGTACTCAGTAGCTACACATCAGTGGTTCAGACATTCAGGCTAGCTAGATTATAGGTCTAGATTGGGTTTATGCTTCTCACTCACCTCTCCATGACCAAGCCGTTACCTAGGGGATCTTATCAAACATGCTGAGCTTAATCCCATCCCTAATGCCCGGTTCCTGACCGTAGGATAGTTCAATAATCACTTTGCAGATTGCTTCTCCAGAAGCTCAGAGCATTAGATACAAGATTTTAAGCAGCATAGCTTAAACCTTTCCTTGTCCTATTGAAGCTGCTAGGTACAATTATTGATATCAAGAGGGAGTTTTACATTAAGAGAGTAAACAGCTATAAGGGTGGTAAAAATAGTTATTTTTTCTTTAAACACTTTCAAAAATTGATAAAATTATAAATTATGCAACAACTCAGAGTGGCCTTTAAAGGACCTTTTCATCGACGTGGAAGTCAACCAGTTAAACGATCCTAATTCCAAACGTGGCGGCATCGTTCAACCTTCAACCAGCCAGGTGCTTCGCGCCGCTGTAAATTCCGTCGAAAGGAACTGAAAACGTGTGTGCTCCTACGGATCGATTCACTGTCTGGGTGAAGGTTTCGCCCTTGAAACTTCAGAAGGCGATGGAAAAAGTGGGCGCAACCAAGTGGAAACGACTTCCGTCTCGGCAGTGGGAAACTACGAGGTCCGAATTATACGGAATACTCGCTCGCGATTAATATTGCTGGCTACATAATGAAGGAGAGCCTAGTCCACGTGCTCGGGGTAGTCGCTCGTTGTATTTGCATGGTGCCAGGGTCGCGCCTTGACAAGAGCCAAGATCTACGTCAGAACGTGTCAGCCCGAGGGATTATTTCCAGCTCCACTTTCCCCGTTCCGCAATTTCACGGATCGAGAACAGAGACCCCCCTCTTTCAGAGGTGACGATGCTGGATCTGGAATGCTGGCTTTCATTTTTCTGCAGATCTACACCTCCGCGATCACAAAGGGAAATGAAATCGGGATTCCAGATTTCGTTCGCAATTTTCAGATCGACGATCGAGAATATTTCGTGGAAGAGGGAATATCTGCAAGGTACCACACTCTAATTTTTATGGAACCTTGAAGGTTTGTTGAGTAGACAAAAGTTGGAGGTGTGAGGATTTTTTTTAGATGAAAAAATTGTTTGAATATACAATCTAAAATAGTTGATACAGACCAAGTAGTCAAAAAATGTTCCCTACGCACAAGATCAACTCTCTAAGCATTTTGTTAACCTTGAGAAGGAATGTCAAAGTCTCTGTTCTCCCTATTACACTATCATCCCTTACACAAGAACTTACGATAGAAGAAGAATAAGAAGTTCTCAATAAAGGATCCATTTTAGGTCGAAGTAAGCCTCCGAAAGTTTCAAAACGGAGGATTCTGGTAATTATCGATTACAGAAAAAGACCAATGAACATTTCACAGAGGTTTAATCAGTAACTTTACCTGCTGCTGCGTCTTCTGTCTTGGGAGTGCATCGAGGCGATCGCGGAGCTTGGCATGGAGCGCAGACTGCTGGTGGTCGAACTGGAAGGACTGGGGGGCAGAGGGGGCGGTTCCTCATCAATGGATGTCCTGTCCGGAGTTGGCGGGTTCTTAGACCCGGAATTGTGGTGATTGTGATGCAAATGATGCAGCTGCAGCCGAGCATGGTCCGGATGAAGTAAACTGGCGCGTCGGGACTGCTGAGGCGTCACAGCGGGACTGCTACTCGCAGCGCCGCAGGGCGACGGCGATGCCTTTTAAAAAATCATCCGTGTGATGTATTAAGCTCACCGACGCCATAATCCACTATTTTCTACTAAATTCATCGTCCGTTATCCACATAAGCCGTTTATTTTAAAAGTGTCATGTATCGTTTTTTTAAAAATGTGAAGTTACTGATAAAATTTGATACAATTTATTGATACGCCTTTACTTAAAAAAGATTGCAGTTAATATGTTGAAAACTACTGATATAGCAACAAAAGTTGTATGAATTATTCATTGAAGTTGATAAGTGTCCAGATATTTATGAACGAGGGTGTAAATCCTTCCATTTGTACGCTCAAGTTTCAAAGCTGAAATCATGAAGGGAATCTTTCCAACTGGTCGCAGAATGACCTCACGTGTACTCCAAAGCGGTCATTCATCAAATCTACAGTGCGATAGACTTTATGGCAACGACGGCGACATGGTGCCGTTCAACATAGCCAACCAGTACGATAGGTAGCACAACAACTCCAACATACTTCATAGTTATCGTTCTACCGTCGTATAAATCATAGTTGGATCTTATCGCACGTTAAATCGTTACGTCAAAGACCACTGTATCGATACCAGAGCTACACTTTCTCCCAGAACTTATCCTTTTTTCTCTATTATACAGTAGAAATATACTTTTCCCATATTAAATCTTATTCTTTCAAATGATGAGAAGGAGTGAGTTAGAAATGAAGGCAAAAGTGTCGAACTCTTAACATGTCAACAAATCGAGCACCTGTCGCTAAAAAACTATCTGTCAAGGCAACAGAACATTCTGCTAATGGAATGTTCATATAAACATGTTCGAATACACGGAGCTCTACTGTATTGCAGTTACCGACGAATATAGGACCCAACAATAAATTGCAATTTATTGATCTTGGGAAGTAGTTATGGGGGTTGATGGAAACTACACGTACATCCGTCGCGAAGGCTACCTGGATGGAGTCGATCCCACTGTCGTTCACGTTGTCCTGGACATCTGGGAACACAAATGCCTGCGCTTGTCCATCCGCCTCGCCCCTTGGCGAGTCGCTCGGCCATACCTGCAGCAGAGGAAGTCCGCCACGTGTCTCTACGTTCACTTCCGCGGTGACGACGTTGGTCTGCTCACCCGTACCGAGGCACAGCCTGCTCAGCTCTCTCAGTGGCTTCTGTTGAACAACAACTATTTACTCACACCTGGATTAACAGATACAACGAAAACCTAAAAATTAATCGCGCTATTAAAGAGGGAATTGCTTTTCTAAGATTGGAAATCTTTTTTATTTTCGAACAGCCGAAATTCATGTCCCGTTATATGGTGAAAAATGCTGTGAGGCGATGAAATTGGTGGGTGGTAACAAAATAAATATGTCCCGTTACACAGTTTGAAAAGTGGAGGGAGAATGCGATGAACTTAGTATCTCCGACATAATTAAACATTTATGATACATACAGCATCATTCAGTGTTTGATTAAACATTAATAGCAATTACGATTCAGAATAAGTATTCGTTCTAAATAACAAGACATCCTCTGATATAACTATATTTCTGTCCTGATAATACCGTTCCGCGGTTATGTCACTCACACGCGTGCAACCACGTTATGCACATACCATTTACGTCACGTGAGACCTGTCGCTGGCTCGAATTGATTCGCCCAATGAAAATGTCTGCGGAAATATCATCGCGGACAAGCGAGTTTGGACGTGTATTGTACCAATTGCCTGATCACATTATCATTGAATTATTCATCGGCAGTTGCGTCGGATATTGTGAAACAAAATTACTGCAACAATTGTCCCTATTATCGCGCTAATTAAATAATAACGAAGATATGAGTTTGTGATGTTCGTAGCAAGTATTCTTATTTTGTCAATGTTAGCATACAGTTTCTACGTTAAATTTAGATAGAATTTATATTATCCATTGGATGATTGATTTAATTTTGATTAAATAATAAATGTCATGCGTGATAAGTATTAGATAGTATATTATGTATAATGAAGTGCAATGATATTTGTCTTCTATATGTATATTATGTATATATGCATACAGTTGTAAGAAATCTAAACGTGCGTTAAATTTATCGAACGTTTAGTTCCACGTCTGCATCGAATTCGACTTTTACCACAACCGTGGATGGACAAAGCGAAAACTCGAATCAGCTTATCGACTTTGAGTCCTGAAAGCTTCCTGTAATTCCTTCCATCGTTTATAATAATGGAACAATTAATCTGCGCCCACAAAATATACAAAACTCGCATATTCGGATTAAAGCATTCAACGGTGCGTGTATCGAATAAGTGGATGCTTTGGATGAATAATTCATGAAGAAATGTATGGTCATTTCAGATAATAATTGTGTATTCTGTTTCAAATATGCCTTTAAATTAAACAACGGAACATGTGCGTTTTGTTACAAAGAGAATTATTTATGAATATACATTTCTAAAGTAGACACCCACAATTATAAAGAAATACTTTTAATTAAATTCCCGTGTGATTCAGTACAAGTGTTTATGTATCTTATCTTTAATAGTTTTGTAACAAAATTTCAACTTTGTAGACATTTTTACGAGTTTCAGTTTGCCAGCTAACGTGTTAAAAATGGCATGATAGTTTGTTCGACAAAGGTATCCTTCATGTAGCTTTAATAATGGCGCCATTAACTTGAAAACTCGTGACAATGCATCCCATAAATAAATCCAATGCGAACTTTCGATTCGACGAAAGTTTGAAAGTCTTCGACCTCAGCCAACCCCATCGCCCCCGCCCAGTCTTCCTGAAATATTCTCAGGATCGGATTTTCATTAAGGCATGTTTACAGTGACGCGATGAAGGTCACTACGCGGGTAACACGGCTCGATTCTTTGCAACCCTATGACGTAGGATGGACGCACGAGAGGATTTTTGCAGCAACAGTTCGCCGGTAATATTTATCATGGCGTGGTAATAAAAGTGCAAAGTTCGCCACACAATTCAATTTCTTTTCCAGCAACTTGTATTTAAATAACTGCGTTACGATTATTTAACCCCTTGAGGGACGAATTTTAAATGAACCTTAAATAAACAAACACACACAAACCAAAGCAATTTTCATCTGTGAATGGATTATAAATTATGTAACTATTTTGCAGGAGTTTTTTTTTAAAGGAATGTTCTTCAATATTCTTAATTAGAATATATGTTTAAATAAGATATGTATATACGTAAATGATTGGATATTTTTGTAAATTTAACTTTGGAGCTTCTTAAAAAGCAATTAGATTGTCAATAATAAGTCGAACAGTTTTCATTTCAATAACATTTTGTTTTCTTATAGCGGAGAATGATTGAACAGCGCCAACATCATTTGAGTATGAATATTCAAGTACGGATAAATTCATTTTTTAATTGATGATGATATTTAAATGACAAGCGATGTAAATTTTACCGTTTCCAGAGATTTTTTTATCGCTATATAATTAGTCCGACCTCGTACAAAAAAAAAGAAACCGGTGGTCAAACAGACGCGACGTTGCGAACGCAGATCGATAGAGCGCAACCAGGAAGCTCCGTAATGAAGGTAGATGGTTCTTCATAGGTTTCCCATGCTGCGAATGGGAGCCACCTGCATTCCATATTTGCAAAAAGTGGACCGTTTGCTTCGAGACAAATATCACAATGGACTCGTGAGATGGTAAGGGGTTAAGCTAACATTTCCAGCTGACTCGAGAAGATTGGCCTATGGATACTGTGGCTACTGTTAACCGATTCAGGCTACGTTTCCATTATGGTTATCGCAGACAGAATAAATTTAATTTAATTGTCAACGATATTCAAAAGGTAAAATCTAATTTTTTGTTAGATAATAGATATTCCCTTCAAAGCGTCCTTGATTGCTTTACTTTTGAAGAGAATCGTCATCGTAAGTCAAACGTCGATAATACGTATGTTTTATCTAAAACTAGATTACACATCCTATTTTATTAGAAAAAATATAAAATAAATGAATATTAATTATCTATTCTTTTAATTGTAAAGTATGGTGGCTTTGGAATGTAAGTGCTCTCTAAAGTGATCCAAATATAAAGTTCGTATTATTTTGTGTACCTCATAGTCATTGTTCCACTAGTTATATTCACCGAAAACATTTGTTGAGCTCGAAAATATTTACTAAACTTTTAAGTAGAAACGATGCTGGATAATAAGAACACGAGTTATTCTTACCGAAGAAAAGAACTTATTGTCAAATTCTATTTACAAATGTCTTATAAACCTAAGAAACAATAAGATCCAATCATGAATCTTATAATTTGAAATTTACTTCACGATATTGGTTACTGGGTTTAACCTTGTTGGAATGAAATTACAGGATTGTCTTACTTTATGAAGCAAGGAAGTGTCAGACAGACAATGGATTCTTTTCTATTGTCATGGTGTTGGGGACCTGTGACAATGCTTTTTGTGACACTTTTTGCAAGGGGTGGATCTGTGGCAAACAAAGCGCCACTGTTTGAGCGAAACAAGAACTTGGCTGCGGTCCAGGCGTTTATATGAGAAAAATGAGCCGTCAGAAAGGGTGCTGACAATAAACAGCTGCTGAAAAAAATAGGAAATTTGCCTAATCCTTCCTATTTATAGTCGACAGTTACTGTCTCTCACGCAAAGCTCCGTAATTACCATGTTTGTGGATGAAAATAAGAATATTAAGAATATTTATGAAAACAAGGGCAAAATAGAAACAGTTTCTATCTTCATTATTTTTTTTTTAATTTTAATATGTATTATTACTTTAGTTCAATATTCTTAAAATATTCTTTTGAATAGCGAACTGTCAGTGATTTTTAAGTAGTAATTGCTAGTATTTCTCAAACAATTTCAGAAAAATAATAAGGAACAATGTATCGAGTGAAAAACTGCTATTGGATAAATGTATTCGATTATGTTTAGGAAACGAGCAAGTGTTCCAGCTTTTGTCTAATTGTGAGTACCATTTGTCACCAATTTTTCAATTTTCTTATCACACAGCATCCGTACCATTCGATGAAATTATCTACAGTGAATTCGTAGTGCTCGTGAATTGGAACAATAGCTCTTTTGTCACTGAATAGAATAGGCTGTACAGAACACACACACACACGCGCGCGCGCGTGTGGACAATTTTATCAGACAACTGAAATCTTCGCAAGTTACTGTGTTTTCACCGTGATTGTAATAATTTTACTTAAAAAATTAAAATTACAACAGTTACAATTATATTTTTACAGATTAATTTCCTTTTCTCCTGAATTACTATGTATTAATTGTATTCATCTTAATTTCAATACATAACATATAAATATAAACATTTTTTTTCCCCAAAGTGTTTATTATTTCAATTTTGTCCTCAATTTCTGCAATTTTTTTTTTAACAAAATCAATACAAATGAAATACAAATGAAGCGCTAATTTTTCTAGAAACTTGTCCAGTTTTCCGATGAAAAATCGTCGTTTAATTTGTCACGCTTAATCCCAGCGTCAAGCAGCGAATTAATTTTACACAGTCGCTCCTCCGCCTGCATCTGAGAGTCCATTAAAAAATTCACGACGCGTCTGGTATATTAAAATGCCGGAAATTAATTGATCGCGTACCCTCGACTCGCCGGGAATATTAAAAAGTTCGCTGCAGCATGGAATGGGGATAAATATCTTCGCTGCAAGCTCGCCGCAATATCTGCGGCCTAATAAATTGTAAATTTGCCAGGGTATTCTCGCGCAACGAGGGAAGTGAAAAGTTTCGATGATTTTCATCTTCTTCTAACCATCCGCGCCCTCGAGTTTGTTAGCTCGCTACGCGACCATACATTAGGAATATGCTAATTGGAAAATGTAAAGGACGATGTTTAACAATTTAATTTGGAGAGTAACATTACTTACGAAGAAATTTCTGTAGCAAGAATAAAAACGGGGGTTGTTATCATTTCACGAAGTGTACTTATTTGATTATCTCATTTAATATTTGTACTAACCCTTTTATAATCACTAAAATAAATAGCAGATATTATCGTCACTAAATTGCGGATATTTATGCATTTATGACAAATGTAAATACGTAAAAATATACAAGGATATGTACAAATGCATAAATGTGTAAGAAATTAATAGTAAAAGACACGTTACAACGTGTAGAAGACAATACATAGTGC